TTGGACTCTAGCCATACAGACGGCTTGAAATTGCAAAATCTACCGTGGTTTTTATTCCCTTGAGGTACTGGAACTACAGACAGGGCAATGTGTCCTGCATTTTCATATATGCAACAATCTGTGCAGATTCTTCTGGAAGGGAGTCTTTTAGATACCAAAACCAAGAATAAAGCCTTAGTGTACCAGAAATAAGCAATTGGGCTGCAATGAAGCTGAATACATTCTTAAGTAACCCTAATCTTCCATGAGTTTTTACTCTATATGTCTCTTGATAATACTCCTAAAAGTTACTACCCACGTCAAGATACTCATTTGTCTTAGCCCTTCACACCGTAACTGTGTTTTGTCTGAAAAATATATAAACACCATTCTTTGCTCAGTTCTTTGGATTTCACTTTCTTGTCAATATTTCCAGGTACCTGTAACATTAATTATTAATAATATTCTGTTATTAATGAGTTCTCATATTAATTGGAGGAGATCACTATTGAATTATTTCACCCTTTGTCCTACCACTTCTGTGATTCCCCTTCCCCTCCTGAAAATAGACCAACATATATACAAGTCTTTGGGTACAAAACTAAAATAAAAAAAGAGAAATTACTGCCATTCAGTAATGATACTCTAATATTATATATTACGTTGGAAATGAACTTTACAAACTTGGGGGAAGGGAGGTCAGGAGGGGAAAAAGTGGGAGAAAATGAAGGAGAGAGTAACACTGTTCAAAAAGAAATGTACTAATTACCCAACCTATGTAACTGAACCTCTCTGTACATCACCTTTACAAAATGGTTGGGAGATAGTATCTCTTGCCCTCTTCTATCAGTCTTCCCACTTAATAGGCTAAGTTCCTGAAACATATCTCACCATATTCTTGGTGTTTTTTTGTTAACCCCAACTTGCTTTTCCATCTTTCAATGCCTTCCCTTCCCTGGCAGATTCTAGTACTTGCTGAATGGGTTAACAAAGAGCAAGTAACACACTGGTCCTAGGAGACTGCTTTGTTGCTTTTGTACTACATGAAAATCCTGTACCCTTCATAATTTCCCCCCAATTTTATAATACCTCTGGATACATATAACAAAATACTGATTAGTGATTTGATATGCGTGTTGATGGTTTACTAAGAGAGAATGATAAAGATTTGCATGTGTATTTAAACATCATTTTTCACTTTTGTGACCTTTATTTCCTAGCCACTGCAGCCATTCAATTTTAAAAGGCATAATGCTTATTGACTATTTTAGGAAAATCATGTAACATACCATATATATATATATATATATATATATATATATATATGAAAAGAAGAATAATCCTTGCTCTTATACAGGGTACCTGACAGCTTGTCAGAGGAGCTGATAAGACTGGACAGATCTTGGATTACTTTTTAGCCCCCCAGTGGCTCACTTCAGAGAACATTAATAGTGACAGTACATGAAGGTGTCAAGGAGGATGGATGTTTGGGATAAGCTTAGCATAAATCAGAATTCAGGCATGAACTAAGTTCCTTTCTTTCCATGTCTATGTATGGTGAATGCATATGTCCATTCTCAGTTGAAGGGTTGTATAACTTACCTTACTACTTGATGGTATTAGGTTCTTAACAGGAGTCTATTTTCTTTTCTTCTTTTAAAAATGAGCCATGATGGTATCTAAGAGCAATGCTAAGAATACTGATTAGTACTTATATATTTTTTCAGGGCTATGTAATTGCATATAAGTAGTACAAACTGTAATATTATTGTAACACATGCACCACTCATTTTTATGGTTCTATAATTTTATCTATTTTATTTTATTTATTTATTTTTATTTATTTATTTTTTTATCGGTCGTAGGGCTTGAACTCTGTGCTTGGGCACTGTCCCTGCACTCTTCAGCTCAAGGCAAGTGCTCTACCACTTGAGCCACAGCACCACTTCCGGTTTTCTGGTGGTTTATTGGAGATATGAGTTTCACGGACTTTCCTGCCCGGGCTGGCTTTGAACCGCGATCCTCAGATCTCAGCCTCCTGAGTAAGCTAGGATTACAGGCGTGAGCCACCGGTGCCCGGCTTATCTATTTTATTTTTGATATTCATTTACCCTTTTCTGTCTATTCACATAGCATGTCTAAGTAAACATTCTGTTTTTATTTCTGCTAAAGTTTTAATACATTTTGTTTACTGTTTGTGTCACATTTAAGTCATACCTCTGTGATTTTCGCTAAGGTAATACATCTTCTTTTTTAATGACTCAGTTTTCCTTCTTTCTCTTTAGTTTGTCAGCTCATTGCTTTTTTTTGCTTGTTTTCTTAAGCTTCATTCAAATCCCCTTCAATGTAAGCTTTTACTCCACATGAATTTCTTTATTCCATTACCTTTCAATTTATCTAAAAAAAATCTTTTTTTTTAAATTGTGAAATACCATACAGAGGAGTTACAATAACATGGGCAAGGTAATGAGTACATCTCTTTTCAAGCATTGTTGCCTCCTCCTTTGTTTCACCTTCCCATCTCTTCCCATCCTCCGCCCCCAACCCCCGCCCCGTACAGTTCATTTTTAGACATAACGTCGTGTACATCTCATTGTTGCAGTGGGTCCACCTGTATCCCTATTTAAATAATTTGTTTTTCCCCTTCCCCTCCACAAATTATACCAACATCAAATACAGTGAAAGCATGGGTTATACCATGGGGGAGGGACATACAAAGCAACAAACAAATCATCTTATAAATATGTTAAAAGAATCCCAAGAAAAAAATTTGGTTCCTCATCTTGGGGTTCATTTCCCTAACATCAACTTATCTGACCTTTTCTGCTTGTTTCAGACATATACTAGTAATTGCAAATAAGGGAAACCATGGGACCTGTGTTTCTTTGGGCCTGGCTTACTTCACTTACTATAATTTTTTCCAAGTCTTTCCATTTCCTAACAAATGGGCCAATGTCATTCTTTCTGATGGAAGCATAGAATTCCACTGTGTATATATACCACATTTTCTTTTTTTTCTTTTTTTAAACTTTTTTTATTGTGAAAATACTGTACAGAGGGGTTACAATTACCTGGGCAAGATAATGAGTACATTTCTTATCAAGCATTGTTGCCTCCTCCTTTGTGTTTCCCTTTCCCATCCCTTCCCATCTCCCCCATCCTTCCAGCCCCCCCCAAGTTGTAAAGTTAGTTTTCGACATAACGACTTGTACTTCTCATTGTTGCAATGAGTTTACCTGTATCCCTATTTAAACGACCTGTTTTTCCCCTTCCCCTCCACAAATTATACCAACATCAAATACAGTGAAAGCAGGGGTTATACTGTAGGAGAGGGACATAAAAAGCAACAAAGAAATAAACTCATAAATGTGTTAGAAACAATTGCTTGAAAGAAAAAAAACATTTGAATACATATCTTAGGGTTCATTTTCCTAACATCACCTTATCTGACCTTTTCTGCTTGACTCAGACATATACTAGTAAGGGAAACCATGGGACCTATGTTTCTTTGGGCCTGGCTTACTTCACTTAATATAATTTTTTCCAAATCTTTCCTTTTCCTAACAAATGGGCCAATGTCATTCTTTTTGATGGAGGCATAGAATTCCATTGTGTATATATGCCACATTTTCTTGATCCATTCATCTACTGAGGGGCATCTGGGTTGGCTCCATATCTCAGCTATGGTAAATAATGCTGCAATAAATATAGTTGTGCTGGTAGTTTTAGTATGGTCTTGTTTGTGATCATTTGTGTAAATGCCCAAAAGTGGGATTGCTGGGTCATAGCATAACTCTATGTGGAATCCTATCTAAAAAATCTTTAGTGACTGATAAACTATAAATTTTCCTCTAAGGAACAGAAGACACAGTTAGGTTTCCACTATTTAAATAATAGATATGGAGAAGAGTTCAAATTCAGATACAAACTCTAATTCTTCTTGGTTTATTAATGTTTTCATATATTTTAGAGAAATCGAAAAAATGATGTGCAAGAAAAGAATGAATAAATAAAATATATGAAGGAATTGAAAATTCAGTTAAATAGTTTTGAATGGATGATATTTGGCAATTTTCCTAATGCTAAGACAAAATGAAGATAGTATATGGGTTTGAGATTTTTGTAAAAATGTCCTGATATCTACAGAATGTAATTTTAAGTGTGCATGCACTGTTCTAAAGATTATACCTGAAAAGGTAAAATTTTAATAATCAATTATGCAAACAAATGTTAGCTTTAAAATTAAAGCTTTGATCCATTAATTCCAAATCTAAGAATTCAAGTGGTGAAACAAGTGGTGCTTTTAAAGCTGATGTCCTGAGATATTTGGACATAATGTTTTATTTACTTATGTATTATATTTGCTGCAATGTAATGTTTGTTGGGTAAAGCTGATGAGATTCTGTCAAGAAAAATAAGAACCACCAAGTATATTATAGAATCTAGAACTAAGGGAATATTAAGTGGCCATAAAAAGGAAATATTTCAAAGCATTTGTAATGACATGTGAAAGTATCATGGCATAAGAAAATAAGTTGTTTTTAGTAGATAAATGATGGTTTCAACTGCATGAAACATTTTTACAACACGATTATGGAACATATTATTAAATTGAGAGAGGTTACCTCAGAATAGTGTGATTGTTGGGTTTTCAAATAGTCTGAAGTTATTTTCAGTTGGCATATGTATAAGCAAAAATATACAGTTTGTCGTTCTGTTTAGTAACTATTTTATGGAATTATGTTTTAAAAAGCAAAATTTATCTTCCCATTTTCTAAGACACTCATGGAACTTTCCTTTCTTTGCTTTGGGAGTATTTTGGCATCTTAAGAGGTTCTGCATGAAGGTTTGGTGCCTTTCTATTTGAAGGTGCAATGAGAAGGTGCACACCCTGAGAACCAGCAAGAAGAAGGAATATGCAAAGGCAATTTAAGGAGTTATGGGAAGCATGGATGCACATGCCAGGATCTGAATGTGTTTGGCAGCCTCTGAGAGAGCATTTTTCTGTCTGATCTCTGCAGGATCAAGTCATGGGTGGACAAGATGCAGGAGGACCTTGTAACACTGGCAAAGACAGCAAGCGGAGTCAATCAGCTTGTTGATGTGAGTAAGACCCCTCACAGACTCCTCTTAATCTAGTGCCTATTACAGTGAAGTCCTATCTGCCAGGAAACTGTGTCTCTATTGCAAGTGGGGACAGACTTCCCAGGTTGGAGCTGGCAGTGAAGTACTGAAAGAGGGCCTGGGTACCCCTGGTTACTATGAGCAAGAATGTCACTGGTCCCGAGTCCTCAATGACACCTGCCCTCACACCTAATGGCTTCCACATAGCTCTCTCCTTTAGATGTGTGTGTCCCTATCCTATCCAAATTTAGCTGGCATGCACATATTACCACAGCATTTTCATTTTGCAATATATACTTGAGAATTTGTTTTGTGGTGCTGTTTTCAAGTCCAGTGATGATTTTTCTGAGCATCTTCGTGGGAACACATCTTTATTTTTATTATTGTACCAGTCCTGGGTATTGAACTCAAGGCCTGGGCACTGTCCTTGAGTTTTGTTTGTGTACGGTTAGCTCTCTACCACTTAGGACATAGTTCTACTTCTGGATAAAGAAGATTTTATTTGTAAAAATAAGTTGTGAGGTGTTAATATACACCCAGAGATGAAGCTTTTGATATAAGAAATGTAGACACTAGGAAAGCTGTTTTTTTTTTTATGATTTCTAAACTGACTGTCACAGTCACTCCAATAATTTTTGAAAGTGACAGGGATCAACTAATATATCTTGTTGTGGCATCTTAAACTGATTAGATTCCTTTTGTAAGAACATTTCTGTATCTACTTTATTAGAATTGCTAAAAATTAAATTTCATTTGTTTAGGCCTCCTTAGTTTTGTAACAGTGCAAATAATGCAACAATTAGAAAGTACTCTCATTCTGTATTGTAATTACGCAATGAGGTCTACTATATAAAAAATACTGTGGCTTTATTCAGTGAGATAGTGTAAAAGGAGTTGCAGTTATGAGCTATGAATAATCACTTTAGATAAGAAGTACTTTGGATTTTTGCTGTTTTTGAATTTGGAATATTTGTATGTGCATAAAAAATTAGAATGGGGACTGAAATCTAAATCCAGATTTTATTGGTATTTTATATATACCTTATATACCAAACTTGCACAAAACTTTAGACAATATGAGAAACATTTGTGTTTTAACCTTGACCCATCATTTGAAGTTTGGAATTTTCTACTTGTAACTATCACGTTGGGTGCTCAAAAATGTTTCAGATTTTGAAGGATTTTGGATTTCACATTATAGATGGTCAACTTCCATATGAATATTTCTCTCTGGGGAAACCTGGAATACATAGTTAATTTATATATTAATACAAATTTGTAAAAATCATGTTAATCAAATACTTAAAAGTTAATGTGAGTTGGGCGCTGGTTACTTGTGCCTGTAATTCTAGCTGTTCAGGAGGCTGACATCAAAGGATTTAAGTTTGAAGCTAGCCTGAATGGAGCCTCATCTCCAATTAACCAGCAAAAAGCCAGAAATAGAGCTGTGGCTCAAGTGGTAGAACACCAGCATTGAACAACAACAACAACAAAAACCAAGCAGGAGCACAGGGCCCCTGGATTCAAGTCACAGTGCTTGCACACACACATACGCACATGCTTTCTGAATTTTTTTAGAAGGCAATTATAGTTATTAAGCTAAGGGTGACCCTTACCAAATTTTAATTTAGCTTAGCAATATATTTTTCTGAAAATCCTAAATTATCTAAAATGCTTAGTAGTTCAGAATTTTTTTTTTTTTTTGGGTCCAGTCGGGGGCCTGAACTCAGGGCCTGGGCGCTGTCCCTCAGCTCTTCAGCTCAAGGCTAGCGCTCTACCACTTGAGCCACAGTGCCACTTCCGGCTTTTTTTCTGCTTATGTGGTGCTGAGGAATCGAACACAGGGCCTCATGCACGCAAGGCAAGCACTCTACCACTGAGCCACCTTCCCAGCTCAAGTTCAGAATTTTTTTAGTGATGATCTGATGCCTTAAGTCTGATGGGTTTCAATCCAAAGTGGTGTTAGGAGTTACCTTCTGATGATGTCCATAGGTGTATAAGACATAAAAAGGCATTTCGTATTTAGACTTAGTGTTCCTCCTCAACATATCTCATTATTTCTATGCAAATCTATCAACATCTCAAGACACCTGACCTGTGAAGCACTTTCATTCCCAAGGTGGTTAGAGAATGGATACTCAACCAGTATCTGCAAAGCAAGGCACATGAAAGGCATTTCTTGTGAATACCAATGGTCTGATTTAATTCTGGTCAGCATTTACAAAGGACATAATGTATCCCAGGCACTTTGTAGTCTATCAAGGGTAGACAAAGTGACACAGCTGCTCTCCTCACACAACTGACACTGGACTAATAAAAAATCTCCATCGATCAAACTCCTTGTACAAATTAAGAGGCACCATTGGGGGTTGGGTACCCATGTGAAGGGGGAGGGTGTGCAGGAGGGTGAACAATATCAGAATACTTTATGCGTATCATGAAAAGAGAAGAATGTAGCTTGTTGAAATTGTTTTATGATAGGAGAACGAGATGAAGGAGAAATTTATGCAGGTGACCCTGGATGCATGTGTAGAAACACCACAATTAACCCCCATCCCATGTGCAATCAATCTATGCTAACTGAAAAAGGAAAACAAAAACAAAACCCTCCATTGCCAGGGTAGAAATGTCTAAGCCCTAACCCCTAAGGTGATACTTCAGATCTGCATTGACTTTCTTAGGAAAGTTTGTGGAATCTGCAAGTCTGTTGGGCAGTCAGGGAGCCTCTGTAAAAAGTGATGGAATTTGTGGAGATGTCAGTAAAATTTATTTGTTAATTCTTATTTCTATAGTATTTACCATGACTGAGGGTGAACCACAATGAGAAAACAGTGACAGCTGACAGATTCTGGTTTTAAATTATATGGCTCTTTTTATTGACAGATTGAGATTACAACTAGTAGCTTAGGAAAGCCTTTTATTTCATTTTATTTTCCAACTCCTTCAAAGATTCTCTAGCTTTGAAAACTACTTACTTGGCTGATCTCCTTGTTTTTGGTGTGAAAATGGAAAATTTTGCTTGTTAGATTTGCTTTTTGCAATAAATTAAACAAAAAAAAGAAAATCTCACCTAGTTTCCATTCTGCTTTGTGAAGTATAGATTACTGCTGTAAATATTGGTGAACAAATTACCATCTGAATTAGGATAACAAAATAGAATGAAAAAGAAAATGTACTTCACTAAAGGTATACTAATTTTTTGTTTATGGGCTACATACCTCAACTCCATGACGGAAAAATTATAAGAATTATTTGTCATGTAATTTCTGTGTGTGTGTGTGTGTGTGTGTGTGTGTGTGTATGCGTGCGCATGCACATGCACATGTGTGTATTTGTAGAGATAGTGCAGAATTCAATATTGGGAATAATTCATGTTGGACAGTATCTTTGTATAAGATAAATACCTTTGTATGCCTATTTCTTTCCTACAGAGAAGGTCCACGATGTGACCATGTTACTTAAGCTAACATTGGCTGTAGGATATCAGAGTTGAGAGTTAAATTTTAGCTAGGATTGGAGCGTTGCTGTGGAGGTATTTTTTGTTTGTTTATTGTTGGATTTTGTGCAGTGCTGTGGCTCCAACTCAGGGCCTCATGTAGGCTACTCGCTACCACTGAGCCATATAGATTGGTATACTGAATTATAGTGTGGACCAGAAGTTGAAAACAAAATGGAGTGGTGTGTTTTCCTACATTGAAAGTCAACATTGTAGAAATGATAATTCTTCTCAGACTATTTTTACTAGTTCAAAAATACATCTACCTTAACAAGGCCCCCAAAAACTAAATAAAACAGCCATATTACTAAGCTAATTTAACTTGGCAATTTTATGAAGATTTCTTTAAGGGACCATTAAACGTCATCTTGGGACAGTTGATAAATTCACGTCTTTACAGATGAGCCATTTGGTCCAGGTTACTTGCCAATCTTTTGTTAAAGATCAAGAGTGGAAGAGCTCAGGTATACTATCATTGTCCTTGAATTATTCCAGTACTTAATCACTTACAGGTACATAAATCCATATGTGCACACACCACACAAAGCATATCAAATAATTCAAAGAAATAAAAATATAGGAAATAAATTGTACTTTTAATTTTCCACAGCGAACTTTTAATCCATTAGAACCTTTTAATATTCAATGGAAAGGGTTTTTCTCCACATGGATGTAGGGTCTCTCCTAACCACCCTAAGTGAGTACATTACTTCGTTGCACCTCAGGTCAACATTGTCCAGTGAACACTATGCATGAAGAAATTGTTTCTGAGGTTAAAATTTTGTTCAATACCGTGTAGCTATTAAGTTGGATACAACTTTGAAGTGAAAAAGAATTCTATGTGTTTTAATGTAGTTGTTAATATTTTACAGTTTAATATTTCCTATGTTTCCAGCACATTCCCAATTGGGCACAAGGTTAGCATATCTGAATATACTATAGCTCTTTAAAAAAAAGATATAATAAGAAGCCAAAGCTATACCACCACCAATTACCTACTTAAGAGTATTTCTTCTTGAAATAATTTGAAAAGAATCCCAAGATTATGAAAAGCATAGATTTGGAACAATATGAATTACAGAATTTTTTAGTATATGTTATCAGTTCTGCACGCACACACACACACACACACACACACACACACACACATCTTTCCATGCACAATGATGATCTGATATCATATTCATAAACAGAATTTAAAAAATTGATGTATATGGAATATTATTGAAAACATGTTTTTTTGTTATTGTTTATTTCTGTATCACTGTTTGAACTCAAGGCCTCAAGCTCAACTTTCTGCTGACGCTTTTGAGTCATGCCTCCAGCCCAGCTTTCAGGTGAATATTTGGAAATGGAGTCTCATAGACTTTTTCTACTTAAGTTGGCTTTGAACCACAACCCTCTGGGTCTCAGCTTTCTGCATAACTAGGAAAATGTTTTTAAGTTCAATAACCATGCTTTAAATTTATGTCAAAAAACAAAC